ACTTAAAATCTCTAAAAATAATTGTTTGTTTACGTTTTTAATTTAATTAATTGAAAGCTTTGCATTTACCTTTCACAGTAACGGCTACCGTCTGCAAGACTTCCAATTTCTTTTTATTCATAGGCGACTGCCCGATGCATTTATAAGTGCCAGCGTCTTGATAAACAACATCTTTCAATGAAAATTGTCCAGTGGGTGTTGACAGGCCATGACCCAAACCTCTTAAACGCGCCGTCACTGGATCCAAATGACTCCAACAGCCTAAGGAACCTATTCAATATGAAAGTGCAAAAGCAATCTCATAACAAGACTCATCAAAGACCAAAAGATTTCTGTTTTTCATTAAAAAAACCCTATTTCAACTAATTGCTTAAGAGTTTCATTAATTTTCCTTTTACTTCAAATTGATTGCGTTTTGATAGCATTCGCTTGGCAATTGTATAAAAATTTTACAAAATTGTTACATAGTTTTTCACTTGTTCGCGCTTGTTACTATCATACAATGTAGCTTTCAATGTTTGTATGTTGTTATGCCCACTTTATTAGTGTTGTCATTAATGGCAATTTAATTGGAAAAATTTCCTCCCGTAACAGTTTTGTTTAGATAATTAATTTTGGCAAATGAAACGAAAATACTTCAAAAGATATGAAATTCGCAATTAAAATCCTGACAGAAAGTAGGCTATGAAAATTTAATTAATTGACTGCACAAAAATAGTCTTTTGAAAGAAGGTTCATTTGTTATACAAAAATTTTTAAACTTTGCTTCAAAAAAAAAAAAAAAAAAAAAAAAAATTGTATAGCAATTTTTAAGCAGATTTTACTATGCATTAAGAGAGAGAGGTCCTTCTAATTGTTTTAATTTAAAATGTTCTTTCTAAAATACTTTTCGCCTCATGTGTTAATATATTAAGAAGTAAGCCATCCCTTGGAGAAAATTTGAAAATTTCTTGCCTACTAAAAGGATTTTTTTTTTTTTAATCAAGACCGCCGTTACTTTAAAAATTTTCTTTACCTTGAGGACATTGTAACGTTACCGCTCCACCGAGTTGTACTTCTAACTGTCCTTTGTTGGGATTATGAGAAGAAGCAGCTACAGACATGTCTTGATCGTCCGGTTCCGAGGTTACATCCACCGAATCGTCTGAAAAATAATAATTAAATTTATTTAATTTACTTATTTAAATTTTTGCTTAAAAGGACGAATGGTTTTTGTGCCTTAAAATGGATTTTTCTCTTTTAATTTTATAACTGATATTATTTTTCAACATCTTAATGGATCTCGTAGGCATTAACGTTTTCTAGGTGAAGTTTTTTAAGCCAAACAACTTGTAAGTTGTCCTGCAAACGCGTAGGAACCAAAGTCGCGCTCACAAATGTGATTTTACAGTGCAGGTTCAAGAGAGCAAAATTTTTACCAGCTATGTATGATAAGAAACATGTATAGCAATGCGGCTCAAAATGAATCTATAGTAAGGCGCTTAGTAAACAGAATAATAACAGCGGAAGATGACTATATAGTAAGGAGTTAATGGGAAAAATAGTTCCCCTTAGAAATATGATAAGCAAGCGCACAGCATTTGCTTGGGAGCGAAAACAATTTAAGAACATTTAAAAGTACTTGTCCTACTTCACTAAGTAAGCGAACGGATAACATAAATGGCAAAGGAATTATTTATAAAATCAAAGTTTGGAGAGTTGAAAAATGTAGTGCAAGTATCCGTCCTTGTTTGGGGAAAAAATTGGACTTGACCGTTTGGAATAATATTGAGCCGGGTAGCCTCTCTCGTGAACTGGCTCGAATCAGTCAACTTTCTTTCAACTTTTTAATCGACTCGAGAAATGCCTGCTTCTGAAAAACAAGTGACGATAAATTTACTTCCAGAAAAGTCTTCCGAGACAAATTCATACTTTTTGACACTACTTTCAAATCAGCTGTACTTTTAGAGTGCAATAAAAGGATGAAAATGAGAGAAAGCATATTTTATTTAAAAAAATCCTTCTCGAACATATTAAAGAATTTTTAAATCAAAACTGTATTGGAAGAAATCTCAGAAAGAAATGTTTTTTAAATGTCAATAGTTTGGTAAACAAAAAAAAAAAAAGGGAACGAATTGATACGAAAAGAGAGCAAAGGGAAAAGATAACAAGGCCAATATGAAGCGCTTAAGGGATTCCCATGAAATGCCATTTATAGTCTGCTTGCAGTCAACTACAATACTACAATATTTCAATGAATTTCATGATGACCATGATGCCGGCGTTGAATGTTATGTATACATGACAACATATTGAGGCGCATTGCACTAGCTCTGAATGGTGAATGATATACTCAAACCGACAACATTGTCAAACAGTTCAAATGATGGGCAAATAGTGAAGTCGAAGCAAAGCATAGTTGAATGATGACTCTTGTAAAAACTAAAATAAAAACTATCCACTTAAAAAAGCCCATAACGAGAGAATGACTATGTGAACGACGATAAGAGAGTGAGGAGATGATGATTGCATGGATGCGTGTTTGTTCAAACTACGACGAGTTAAGCTGCATATGGCAGCTATAATATGAAGCTTATATTAGTTTGGGGAAAAAGAAATCCATTATTTTTTCGGTAGATGGCTGCACTGATAGATTTCTCGTAAAGTATCGATCACACAATTTCCGATACTGTACATTTACATACTGTACATTTCGCAGTAAAAAAAATTCTTTTGCTGTTTTTTGTTTGGTGCATTCAGTTGTGAGTTACAGCCGGTTAAAAATGGAAGTGAACAAAGAGAAAATTCGGTACATTTTACAGTTTTTCTTTGACAAAGGCGAGAATGCAAGCCAGGCGGCTAAAATTGCGAATGGTGTTTATGGTTCCGATACTGTAACAGCCAATTATGTGCAATTATGGTTTCGTAGATTCCGTTCAGGAATTTTTGATGTTAAAAATGCACCTCGCACAGGTAGGCCGGTCGTCGAAAATGTCGATAAAATCGGAGAAATGATCGAAGTTGACCGGCATGTTAGCAGTCGTAACATCGCCCAGGAGCTAAAAATCGACCATAAAACAGTTTTAAACCATTTACACAAAGCTGGATTCAAAAAGGAGCTCGATCTTTGGGTGCCACACCAATTAACAGAAAAAAACATGATGGATCGAATTTCCATCTGCGAAGCCTTGGCCAAACGGAATGAGATAGACCCATATCTTAAACGGATGGTGACTGGAGATGAGAAATGGATCACATACGATAACCCTGTGCGAAAACGATCGTGGTCAAAGAGCGGTGAAGCACCTCAAACGGTGGTCAAACCAGGACTAATGGCTAGAAGGTTTTGCTATGCATTTGGTGGGACTGGAAGGGGATTATTTATTATGAGTTGCTTGCATATGGCCAAACGCTAAATTCTGATCTCTACTGTCAACAACTAGACCGTTTGAAGATAGCGATTGACAAGAAACGGCCAAATTTGGCCAACAGGAGAGGTGTCATGTTCCACCAGCACAACGCTAGGCCACACACACCTACAGTGACTCGCCAGAAACTTCGGGAGCTTGGTTGGGAAGTTTTAATGCATCCGCCATACAGTCCGGACTTGGCACCAAGCGATTATCATCTTTTTATTGCATTGCAAAATTTCTTTAATGTTAAAAAATTGAAAACTAGGGAGGATTGTGAAAATCGACCACTCGAGTTTTTTGCAAATAGAGACCAGGACTTCTATGAGAGAGGCATTTTGAAGTTACCTTTAAAATGGCAACAAATCATACAACAAAACGGTGCATATTTAACCCAAATCGGACAATCCGAAGCATGTTAAATAAAGTCCTGAAGTTCATATTAAAATAATGGATTTCTTTTTCCCCAAACTAATATATGATTAACGATTGGTCAGAGAGACGGAAAGAAATACACAAAGCGCATATGATTTGATTTCAAACTATGATTTTTTTTTATTCAAAGAAAAAAAGCAAAAAAAAAAAAATTTATAATAAAATAATATGCAAGAGCAACACGATATTTATTTTATTTATCTTGTTTCAGCCAACCCGAGGGTTTTTAAAGACTTTTCTAAGTAAAGTGAAGTTTTTCTCATTATTACAACTTTGTATGACTTTGATAAAAATCTTTAATTTTCATTTAAAAAAAAATCTCTTTATTATTATATTGTAATTGCTTGTATCCTTTAACCCTTGCCTAACCGACTAATCAACCACCACCACCATTACCATCGCCCCGGCGAGCAGTTAATTGAAAACAGTTAAAATGGTACGCATTTATTCAAGATTTAATTGTGTTGAATGAACAACCCTTTGTCTTCTTTTGTATATTTGCGTAAAATGCCATAAACAATTGCGCACTTAACGAATGCTAAGTCATATAAGGCTCTTTGCATTTGTAGCCATCTGTATATTTTATTCCTCACTTTTTTAGGATAAAGCAAAAAAAAAAAAACTTTCCAGATACGTTTTTAAAATTTGTTTTTTTGTGTTTCGAAACTTTACATTTTTAAAGAAGCAATTTATTCCGTTTTAATTTCATCACGTATCCCTCCATTTATCAATAAATGCTTTCGAAAATCATTCGAGAAAAATATGGAACGTTATACGTTACTTGTAGGTTGGATGTTAACTTCTTTTACCATTTTTTCTTTTCTTTTTTTTTTTTTTTTGAGATACGGTAAAGAGTATTTTAGAAAATTGGAAAAAGCAAGAGTGGATGCTATTATGCTCAATTATTCCTTTTATGGATGCGTGAAATGTGAACAAAATTTGGTTTTTAAAAATTTTAATGCATTCCTCACGACCAGATACTCGATTAAGTTTTTATTGTTCTTTTTTTTATAAACTTGATAGACATATATATCTTCTCTTGTAGATGGACGACATCGAAAAGGCTTCAATCACATATTTTGACATACATAACAATTTGTTTACTGCTTGCTAATAAAATCATTTCGAATGTGACAAGAAAAAATTAATTATACTCGCCTTGCTTTGAACTTTTTATTTTTCTTTTTTATTAAGTTTGACAGCATTTTATATGTAAATGTTTCTTACATTTGAACACAACTTCCCATTGAGGTGCAAAAGCAGTCACAATAGTTGTCCTCGATGATTTTCTAAACAACCAAAGCAGCAAAAGATATAAGAGATCCAAGTCACGTTTAGGTAATGCTCGATATACAAAGTTAAGTTTACTTAAAAATCCACCGCCAACAAATAGCTCTCTGAACGTTTACTCAAAGTGCACCTTGTTGTAGAACAAGAAAAGTTTCATAGTCTTTTGTCATTAAAACTTTCGCCTCGATTTGCACCGGAAGTAATAAAATGCTCTGCTACATTTTATAATACATTTTCGCCAGCATAGTCTTTGTGGTGGCAAATTCACAGTCAACAATCTGCTTTCTCTCTCTTTCTCTCTCTTTTTCTCGATTTCTTTCTCTGTTTCTCTCTTGCTCGCAGCTGCATTGCAGCCGGCTGCTTAACCCAAGGAAAAGCAAAGGTTTCACATACAGCTCGGTTTTAGCAGAAGGCGCATTTTTATAGAGTTATGTCCATCTGCCGTCCGCGAGCGTGTGTTTTCCCACGGTGCCGCACAGCGGAAAGTTTTTTTTTTTTTTTTAGTGACATCCTTCCCACCCATCCTCACTCTCTGTATTCGTTGTTAAGGCATTCAGCCTTTCACAGAGTAAACCAAGATCTTTTAAGAAAACTAGGTCGGTCTACTAAAGACGCCAATTGGCTCTGTTCCCACTTAAAAGATCATCAGTCAGCTAGTCAGTTTTAAATCTCTCCTATCTAGAAAGAGTTATTTTCATTCCGAAACCATAAAAGTCATATGTCATAAGCTTTCTTTTCTACTTGTATTGCTTCTGAAGGAGCTCTTCCAGCTATTATTCAAGATTTTCACATATTTATATATGCGGTTGATATAGAAAGTCGCCGTTTTCTCTTCAGTCACAAGAGCTTACATAATGAATTAAGATTTACTAGGTGTTAGTTAATTGTTACGAGATCAACTCTATGGTCTTAGATCTTAGAAAATGTATTTGTTACTATTACTATTGTAATTTATTTATTCTAACCATAGAAAGTCATAGAAGTGAAGCCCAATAAGCTATGCCCCATTAAGTCTACGATTATCGTGGAC